CCCCCCCCCCCCCCCCCCCCCCCCGCCTTGCCAGGCGGGATGGCCTCGCTCTGCCTCCCCTGGGAGCTCGGCCTGGGCCCTTGGCGTGTCCCTGGCTCCAGGGCCATCCATGAGCTCCTCAAGCAAGTGCCTTCTTAACAGCCTCCGGTTTGCCACCGAACTTTAATCGTCGGCCTGGCTGCGAAGTGGATTGTTTTAAGCTGTTGGCTTGGATGATTGCTCAGCCAAGAAACAGGGCTACTTTGTTGCATGGTGGTCACCCTCTGGTACCGCTTGTAGGAAGGGGCAGCTCTCAGGATGGTAAGAATCACCTGCACAGAGGAATTTTACTGGAATAGATTCTAGCTGGTGTAACATTTGTGTACATGACGGTGACTAAGTAGAGCAGGCCTCGACATTTTTTTCAGAAATGGTACTACTACCTGTTGTGTCATAAGAAACTTACTTTTATTGCAAACCTTCTTTAAGAGTTTTTTTATTTATTTTATTTTTCACATCCACCGTAACTTGCAGTGGACACCCTTTCTCTCATCAAAATTTAAAACGTAGGCCCTTGCTTTCAGGGGCACGGAATAAGGTATCTCTTCTAGGGACTTCCTCAGTTGGTCCCAGCTTTGTTTACTTGTGGTTCTGCCGGGGGAGGACAGGTGAGAAAACTGCCTTCTGAGTCTCGGCAGCTCGCTTGTGTGTCGCCTGTCCTCGGAGCTCCTCTGAGTTGGAATGGGAACGGGCCTGGGGGCATTCACAGAAAAATAGCAGCCAGGTATATGGGAAGGAGGGTCCTTGGTGCGTAGTCCTACTTCTGCTGCCAGCGTGCATTAGATAGCCTGCCCTGCCCTGTATGCCAAGCACTGTTAAATTCAAGCAGTTGTCTTCTGCTGTAGCCTGATGGGATCAGCGAGGGCACCATCTAGGCCTTAAGACTTAAATTGTATTTTAGAATAAATTAAATTTAAGACAAAGCATGGCCTATTTTATAGTAAGGATTATGTAATGCTATGCCTGCAGTGGCGGAAGATGACTTGGCTCAGCAGGTCACTTCTCATCCAGTCTCCTGAACGTATTAACTCACATACTTTGCTTAAGCCTCCCTGAATTAATTTGAAATCAAAGATCCTGCCTTTCCCATTTTAAATGCAAGAGAAAGGAGGTGCTCAAGTAAATGAAAAGGTGACATTTGCATAGCTAGGAAGAGGGTTTCCTTCTAGGCAAAAAGATGTGACAAGACACTGAAATTTGTTTGGAAAGTCACTGAGGCCAGAAAGGAGTCCTGGATAGACCTGTCTGTCCTCTGTAAAATGTATGTTAAATGTCAACAGTTTTCCAGAGACTCATTAACACGGAGTGAGATCTCAGCTGTGGAATTGTACTTGGGATGGCCAGTGCTCACTTGTTTTAAACAACACCAGCCTGTAAAACATTAGTCTGTTCTGTCATGAGTTATGTGTTAAACTTGAAATCCTGACTCAGAGTTTCAAAAGTCGTAAACTGAGATGTATTTGAGGGTGGAGAAGGAAAGATTACCATAAGCCTGCCTCCTGCAGGCCTCTCATCCCTCCCTGTGATCCACATAGCAGGTGGAAAACTGCTGTTCTGCCTGACTCCAAGCAGCGAGTCCTGTGCTCCTCCAAACAGGAGTACCTGGGCCAGTGTTGTTACTGTACAGGCTGACTGCGTTGAACTCTTCTCTGTTTATGATTTGGTGATGGAGTCAAACTTCCAAGTTTAACATCTCTGTTGTAGTTACATCTGTTACGTTGGCATCTGTTTTCCTGATGCTTATAGGTACTTGTTCTGGTATGAATGATCTGTTCCAGGATTTCAGTTACGAAAATGTTTCTCTCTTGTTCTAAATGTCCCTTAGATCAATGTAGTGAGTATTTATTTTTATTAAAAATTCTTTTTAAATAAAAGTTGTTTTTTTTTTAAAAAACCACCAACTCCTCTTTTAAATGTATTTTATGTTGTAAAGCTGTTTGCAGCATCTTTTAGTATCTGCTGTAATAATTCCCAGATTAGGAGCTCCCAAATAGCATTGGGAATATACTGGAAGTAGAACTTGTGGAAGTGGATCCACACTGAGATTCGGAGTCAAACGCCTAGAAGCAAACCTGGATGTGAGGCCAACTATAAAAAAATGTCGGAGCTGCTGATCCGTTTGACTGATGTGCAGAGCATTTGCTATGGCGATTGCAAATCTGAATTGTTGAGGATACTTACTCCAAAAAAACATTATTACATTTTATTATTATTACATCAGTTCTGCTGTTTTGGATAAAAGACCTTGGGGTTTTTGGAAGACAGTGAGCAGGATG